CTGCACTAGGAGGAGACTCTATGGTGGGGGAACTGAACTTCCGGTCAACTCCAGAATTGAACAGGGGGCTTCCGGTTAGGACATTTGTGTTTTCTTTTCTGTGGAAACAGGTCCAAATGGCTCTTTGAGTGTTTACGTTTGCCAACCCCTGTCCGAGAAGAATGAAATATTAAAAAGGCAGAATATTGTATTTTCCTGGATAGGAAATGGAGAAACATGTTTTTTTTTAAGAGGGAGAAAGCAGCCCCCACCTTTTCTTAACAGACCACAGCAGATGTCAACGCTTAAGAGATAAAGAAAAAGATAGCTCTATTCATAAGCAAATACCCTCACCCATGATCTCACAGGCAAAAGACATTAAACCACAATGGGAATTACCCAACACTCTTTCAGAACCCAAGTCCCTTCATTGCATCACCCTCAGAAACTTTTGTTTCTCTATTTTGCCTATAGAGCCAACTATGGCCCCTACATAACCCCTATATAGCCCCATGGAAAGGACACAGTCAATAGAATACATGTTCTTGCACAGAAACAGGAAGCTCAAGAGGCTCAAGAGGAGGTATAAAAAAAACCCACTCTCAACTCCATGTGGTCAGCTGCCCAGAATCACCCATGTGCTTCATCAGTAAACCCACTTTACTATCAACTATAAGGTGATCCTGCTCACCGCCTCCTACACCTCAAAAATAATAAGAACTCCCTGAAAACAAGGCCAAGCGCTTATTTCAAGGGTCAAAAGAAAATAAGACCCTGTCTTATTTTGGGGGAAACACAATACTTTTACCTGTTATCTTTTACATGTTTGACAAACTAAATAAAATAAAAACAAATAAAATAAAAATAAAATAAAGGTGAAAAAAAAACCTATGATTAATGGAGCTAAAGCTATAGCATGAATGAAGTTTAAGGCTGGGTTTGGTCTCCAATTATTTTTTTTGCAGTTTTTGAAAGCCACAATTACTAAAAAAACAACAGTAACCATCATTTGATTATGGGAAACAATAAGTTTCAAAACACGCACCCTTTGCTGTAGTTCAAACACTACAATAGGCTTATCCCGTTTTAGAAAAACAAAACAAAACCTCACAGATGGATGCCTTTAAACCCAGTCCCAGTTAAATATAATGAGCTTGAACTGTTCCATTTTGCAGATTCTAACTCCCAATTACCATGTGTGGCGCTGATAATAACCTTCTAGAAATATAACTTTGTTCATGCGTGAACTCTGTTTTAGTCTTTTAGGAAACAATTAGGAAACAATACTTGCTTGCTCTCTCTCCTCCCCTCCCTCCCTCCTTTCTCTTCCTTCTCCTCATTTCTTCTGTGTCGCCCTAATAAAAAAGGAGTCAAGTTTCCCTTAGATTAAGCTCAACTCCTGCTGACTTCAGGTATATACATGCAGGTTTTTTTTGGCATGATATGGAAGGACATTTCCATTATCTTCTTCCAAAATGTTACTCTCAACGTCCCAATTAGCTTACAGAGCTGCTTTATTCAATTTGTGGTCACTTGTGGTCTCCCTACAAGGTCTGATGAGCAGGCTTATCTTTTTCAAAGGTAATTATGGTTAGCTGATAAGGACTTTCATGAGTGTGCTGATAAATATGCAAAGAGCAGTTCCTCAGGCATTTTAACACTGATTGCCAGACATCATAAGGAGAATCTCAAGTGGTTTGGAATCAACCCCCAGAATCAATTAGAAACCAACCTCAGAGCAGTTCAAACAAGGATGACAGTTTCACATATTGCAATTGTTAATTAATGAGCTACAGGTAGTCCTTGAATTAGCCCAAATTGGTACAATTAGCAAAATTGAGTCAGTGGTGGGGTTCTGTGGACGTGGCTTGGTGGCTGTGGCAAGGGGAAGATTAATGCAAAAATCTCCATTTTCTCCTGATCAGCTGGGACTTGGGAGGCAGAGAATAGATGGGGGTGAGGCCAGCCAGAGGTGGTATTCGCCAGTTCAATTTTGCGTCATTTTACAACTGTTCTTGCCACAGTTGTTAAATGAATCACTGCTTAAGTTAGTAATATGGCTCTTCAGTGAAGCTGGCTTCCCCATTGACTTGGCTTGTCAGAAGGTCACAAAAGAGGAATCCTGTGACCCCAGGACACAGCCACCATCCTAAATAGGACTCAGTTGCCAAGCGTCTGGATTTTGATCACATGACTATTCTGGATCCCGTTTGCAACTGGTACGCTGCGACGGGACCAGGCGTCCACCACGTGCATCTACCACCGGGCCATTTGCGCATGCGCACAGAGCATACGGTGCCTGCGCAACACCCCGCCAAGCAGCTGGAGTGCTGTGAGCGCAGCACACATGTGTACCCATTGCCTGTGACACTCCAGTTGCTTGGCGGAGCATCATGCAGGTGCCGTACACTCAGTGCGCATGACCAAATGGCCTGGTTGGGTCAAGTACAGTTAAGGACAGTGGGCGGGTCCTCTGGAGCACCGTACCGGAGCTCCCAGCAGGACCAGTATGCCCATACTGGGGCGTACCAGCCATAATCCACCACTGCTCCATGATCACGTGATCAAAATTCAGATGCTTGGCAACTGGCTCGTATTTAGGACGGTTTCAGTGTCCTGGGGTCATGTGATCCATTTTGCGACGTTCCGACAAGCAAAGTCAATGGAGATGCCAGTTTCGCTTAACAACCGTGTGACTGGTGTAGCAACTGTAGTGACTCACTTAACAAATGCGGCGAAAAGGGTCGCAAAAATGGGCAAAACTCACTTAAATGTCTCACTTAGCAATCAAAATGTTGGGCTCAGTTGTGGTCATAAGTTGTAATGACTAATCAGAATAGAGCTGGAAGGGACCCTGGAGGTCTTCTAGTCCAGCCCCCTGCTCAAGCAGGAGACCTTATACCATTTTAGATAAATGACTGTCCAGTCTCTTCTTAAAAACCTCCAGTGATGGAGCGCCCACAATTTCTGAAGGAAACTTCTGTTCCACTAGTTAATTGTCCTCACTGTTAGGAAGTTTCTCCTTAATTCCAGGTTGCTGCTCTCCTTGATTAGTTTCCATCCATTCTTTCTTGTCCTGCCCTCTGGTGCTTTGGAAAATAAATTGACTTCCCTCTTCGTTGTGGCAGCCTCTCAAATACTGGAATACTGCTATGCACCAAGCACTTTCTAAAGAACTGCCAAGAAACTGCATGATTGAATTCATGTGGCCAGTAGAAGTTTCTGCCACGCCTTTAGGTCCTCTATATTGGCGTAACAGTGATCAGCTATATGTCAACACGGCTTTTGTTTGCAAATGCGTCAGGGGGAGCTTAGAAAAACAGGGGAAGGGGCAATGGAATGCCAGCCATTAACTTCTGAAAAGCACTGGATCCACCCTCGCCCTGCCTAACTCCTGCAGCAGTGGGACAGCGGAAGAAAGAGAGAAGGAAAAGGTGGGAGGAAAGAAATCAGGGAGGGAGGAAAAGGATTGTCCACACTCACTTCTGCTCCTGACAAATCTATTTACAACCTGCAGGGATCTCCACACAGATGAACCCCATGGGAGCTCACTCAGCATGAACACTCCTTGCCAACAGAAGGTCTCTGGACTATTTGTATCATCACCCAAACAAAG